GATCTAGAATCGTTAGGCTTTGTGTTATCGGTATCCACACCGTCAGGATCTGTGTTGGTTACTAGCCAAGTGGTGAAAGGAGGCCAGCTCTCTTTCGATGGTCAGGCCTTTGAGGTAAAAGTTAATTCAACTGGATATGCAGGATTTCGATGTGATACTAGGCATGGATTGGTTAGCTGCTAACCGGGCTAATATTAATTGCTCGAAGAAGGAAGTTAGTTTTCGCTTGCCCTCCGGACAAAACTTTACCTTTAAAGGAGTTAAGTCGGGGTCCCAAGGGTGGTGTCGGCATTGAAGGCCAGCTATCTTCTCCAGTGTGGTGCTTGGGCCTATTTGGCTAGCGTTGTGGATGCAAGGAAGGTTGTGCCAAGCATTGAGGCGGTTCGTGTGGTTAATGAGTTCACCGACGTGTTCCCTAAGGACCTTCCCAGCTTGCCTCCGTTTCACGAAGTGGACTTTTGTATAGAATTGCTGCCAGAGACTGCCCTCATCTCGAAAGCACCATATCGAATGGCTCCGGCAGAGTTGAAAAAGCTGAAGTTACAGTTAGAAGAATTACTCGACAAGGGTTTCATCCGCCCAAGCGTGTCCCCTTGGGGTGCGCCCGTGCTCTTTATTAAGAAGAAAGACGGTTCTATGCGACTTTGTATAGACTACAGGGAACTAAACAAAGTGACGGTTAAGAATAAGTATCCCCTACCACGCATTGATGACCTTTTTGATCAGCTTCAGGGAGCGAAAGTGTTTTCGAAGATAGACTTGCGTTCGAGGTACCACCAGTTAAGGTTAAAGGAGGTCGACATTCCAAAGACAGCTTTCAGAACGAGGTATGGGTACTATGAGATTATCGTGATGTCTTTTGGACTCACAAATGCTCCGACAGCCTTTATGGATCTAATGAATCGGGTTTTTAGGGATTTTTTAGATTCATTTGTTATTGTGTTTATTGATGACATCCTTATTTACTCCAAGACTAAGGAGTGTCAGCATCTCAGGCAGGTTTTGACTACACTACGAGAAAATAAGTTGTATGCAAAGTTTTCAAAGTGTGAGTTTTGGCTAGACAAAGTGGCTTTCTTAGGTCACATAGTCACCATGGATGGTATTGCAGTAGACCCCGCCAAGGTAGAGGCTGTTAGCAATTGGCCAAGACCTAGTTCAGTTACAGAGATTCGTAGCTTCCTCGGCTTGGCTGGTTACTACAGGAAGTTCATCCAGAATTTCTCTCATTTAGCGGCACCGTTGACGCAGTTAACTCGTAAGAATGCTACCTTCACTTCGAGCAGCGAGTGTGAGAAGACTTTTCAAGAACTAAAGAAGCGTTTGGTGTCTGCACCGGTGTTAACTGTCCCCGATGGGACGGGAGGTCTGGTGGTTTACAGTGACGCCTCGCGGAAGGGCTTGGGATGTGTTCTGATGCAACATGGGAAGGTTATAGCTTATGCTTCTCGACAGCTGAAGGTGCATGAGCTTAACTACCCCACTCATGACTTAGAGCTAGCAGCAGTGGTTTCCGCCTTAAAGTTATGGAGGCACTACCTTTACGGAGAGAGAATTCAGGTCTTCACTGATCATCAGAGTTTGAAGTACCTTTTCACTCAGAAAGAGCTTAACTTAAGACAGAGACGGTGGCTAGAGTTGGTGAAGGACTATGATTGTGAGATTAGTTACCACCCGAGTAAAGCGAACGTTGTGGTCGATGCTCTTAGTAGAAAGGCGGCAAGCGTAGCATCCTTAGTAGCGGCCTGCAGTCCAATGCACAGCGAGTTGGAACGCTCGGAGGTGGAGCTGACAGTGGATGATATCTCAGCGTTGTTGGCCCGACTCTCAGTGGAACCTAGCCTGAGACAGAGGATCATTGTTGCCCAAAAGGAAGATCCTAGCTTGGCCAAAGGCTTTAGTATGGTGGGTCATGGAGATTTCACTCTTTCGGGTGAGGCAGCCTTGCTTTTTCGCCGAAGGTTGTATGTGCCAAAAGATTATTCTTTGAGGAAGGACTACTGGGAGAGGCACACAATGCTCCATTCTCAGTTCATCCAGGAAGAACCAAAATGTCTCAAGGCCTCAAGAAACATTATTGGTGGCATAACATGAAGAGGGAAATAGCTCAGTTTGTTAGCAAGTGTTTGACATGCCAGCAGGTAAAGGCTTTAAGACAGAGACCTGCTGGATTGCTGCAACCTTTGAGCATACCAGTTTGGAAGTGGGACGATGTGGGTATGGACTTCATTACAGGAGTACCAAGGACGGTTAAGGGATTTACTGTGATTTGGGTAGTTGTAGATCGTTTGACCAAGTCTGCTCACTTTATTCCCGGCAAGGCCACGTATACAGTAGAAAAATGGGCGGAACTGTATTTACAGGAAATTGTCAGGCTCCATGGTATACCTATATCCATAGTGTCCGATCGTGACCCGCGTTTCACCTCCACTTTTTGGTGGAGTTTACACAAGTCCCTTGGCACTAAGTTGGACTTTAGCACAACGTTTCATCCCCAAACTGATGGTCAAACGGAGCGTGTGAACCAGGTTTTAGAGGACATGCTCAGAGCTTGCATGTTAGACTTTGGTGGTAGTTGGGACAAGTATCTCTACCTAATAGAGTTCGCTTATAATAACAGTTTTCAGGCCACGATTGAGATGGCTCCATAAGAGGCACTTTATGGGAAGAAGTGTCGGTCTCCGGTTAATTGGGATGAAGTCGGAGAAAGGGTCCTCTTGGGACCGGATTTGGTGCAGGCGACTAACAGTGCCATTCAAAAGATCAGGGGAAGGATGCAAATTGCTCAGAGCCGTCAGAAGAGTTATGCAAACATCAGGCGTAGGGAACTCGAGTTCGTGGTAAGTGAGCAGGTGTTTCTTCGTGTGGCACCCATGAAGGGAATTTTACGTTTTGGGAAGAAGGGGAAGCTCAGTGCAAGGTTCATTGGGCCTTTTGAGATTTTGGAACGTATCGACCGAGTCGCGTATAGGTTGGCTTTGCCACCATCGTTGGCTGCGGTTCACAATGTGTTTCACGTGTCGATGCTGAGGAGGTACATTCATGACCCTTCGCACGTTTTGGATCCTGAACCATTACAACTCGATGAGTCTTTATGCTACGAAGTGGTACCTGTCAAAATTTTAGCAGGAGAAACCAAGTTGCTAAGGAACCGGACGATTCGTTTAGTTATGGTTTTGTGGAGAAACCACCAAGTGGACGAAGCTACTTGGGAACGGGAGGACGATATCAAGGCGAGATACCCTGAACTGTTGGAACAGTCAACTTTCGAGGACGAAAGTTTTTGAAGGAGGGAAGTCTGTAACGCCCCGAGTCCCTCAGGTTAGTTAGTCTCGAATCAGGAGATTTTCATTTAATTTTTAAATTAAACTTTAATTAAATCTAT